CGAAAGCACCGTTACAGAACATTATCATATTAATAAGCAATCAGTAATGATTTTTTGATATCATGATAAAGCCCACTTTAACTTGAGTGTTTGACTATCCACACTTTCAGTACCTGCGCCGAGCAGACCGTCCGCATTATTTATTTGTACAGTAACTACATTGAAATAACACCACGATATCAACACTTGAAAAACAAAAACAAAAACAAAATTTCACTTCAGAACACATTGGAACAGTCCTAACAGTGTGACGTCTTCTCTTGAAAAGTGGCTTTGTATCGAATGCTCACCAGCGCCAACTACAGGCTTTGGTGACACGCAGGCAACTACAGACACAGGCCTTGGTGATGTGATCCTTTTTTATTTCCAAAATGTAACAGTCAATATACAGTGTTTTACAAATAAGGCAAAATAAGACACAAGTTTGCACATCAGAAATGATCAGAAATTGTATAACAACAAATAATTTACATGAACTATCCCAGGTTTCTAACGTTGATAATCTACATATTATTATAATCATATGTAATATATAATGTATTTATATATTATTCTCATGTTTAGGATTGTGTTAGTCTGCTTAGAGATTTGTATATTATTGCAATCTGTTGTATTTGTATTCTGTATATCTGTTGTGTTTTGTTCATTTTTCCTTTGGCTCTTGTGTATTATAGTCCTGAGTTCTGGTCTTTAGTTGTCTGATTTTGTTTTTATGTGGATGGTTTGTTCTCCTATATTTATCTGAGTTCAATAATCTTCTTAATAAAAATAGTAGGTACTGCTGCATCTGAATTCTACTTCCTCACAGCCCTTCACTACAATCTGTGACAACTATGTATAATATGATTTTTTATTAGTAGTAGCTACTACTACTACTAATAAAAAAATAATTAATTGCATATAATACATATTTATTATAATCTTTCAGGATCACATCACCAAGGCCTGTGTCTGTAGCTGCCTGCGTGTCACCAAAGCCTGTAGTTGGCGCTGGTGAGCATTCGATACAAAGCCACTTTTCAAGAGAAGAAGTCACGCTCTTAGGACTGTTCTAACGTGCTCTGAAGTGAAATTTTAATCTCAGTGTTTACTGATTTTACGGGTAAGCTAACTTTGAGGTGACATTGCAGATTTTGTTTTTCAAGTGTTGATATCGTGGTGTTATTTCAATGTAGTTACTGTACAAATAAATAATGCGGACGGTCTGCTCGGCGCAGGTACTGAAAGTGTGGATAGTCAAACACTCAAGTTAAAGTGGGCTTTATCATGATATCAAAAAATCATTACTGATTGCTTATTAATATGATAATGTTCTGTAACGGTGCTTTTGGTCATTGATTTCATGATTATTTCAAAACTGTTAAATTAGATAAAATATAAATATTTAGGTGACTTTATTGAGCTTGCATTTATCAAATATTTTTTATCATATAGATGTGATGCTTAGTTATAATTTGGTGGAATATATGATTTATTTCCTACATTGTTTAATGTGAGTTTACTTGTATAAGCCACTTTTTGTGTGCAGTTATGCTCAGGAATGTTGTTTCAAGTTGTTGTGTTTACTGATATCATCAACAATAAAATACATTTCACCAGGAAAAAAAATTACCCTTCAGTGTGTGCATTAATAATAAATAAATGATTAGTGTGTGTTCACTTTACACTTATGTTTACTTTCACAGGTTATTAACATTTGTAACTCATTAATAAATGATTCTCAGGTGTTCACTTTACAGGTTCATTTTCACAGGTTATTAACGTTTATAGCTCATTAATAAATTGTTCACAGGTGTTCACTTTACAGGTTCATTTTCACAGGTTATTAACATTTATAGATCATTAATAAATAATTCACAGGTGTTCACTTTACATTAAGGTTCACTTTCACAGGTTATTAACATTTGTAACTCATTAATAAATGATTCACAGGTGTTCACTTTACAGGTTCATTTTTACAGGTTATTAACATCTATAAATAATTAATCAATGATTCACAGGTGTTCCCTTTACATTAAGGTTCACTTTCACAGGTTATCAACGTTTAGAACTCATTAATAAATGGTTCACAGGTGTTCACTTTACATTAAAGTTCACTTTTAGATGTTATTAACATTTATAACTCATTAATAAATGGGTTACAGGTGATCAATTTATACTAATATTCACTTTTAGAAGTTATTAACGTTTATAACTCATCAATAAATGGTTCACAGGTGATCACTTTACAATAAGGTTAACTTTTAGACATTATTAATGTTTATAACTCATTAATAAATGGTTCACAGGCGTTCACTCTACATTAAGGTTCACTTTCACAGGTTATTAACGTTTATAGCTCATTAATAAATGGTTCACAGGCATTCACTTTACAATAAGCTTCACTTTTAGACATTATTAACGTTTATAACTAATTAATAAATGGTTCACAGGCGTTCACTTTACATTAAGGTTCACTTTTAGACGTTATTGATGTTTATAACTCATTAATAAATGGTTCACAGGCGTTCACTGTACAATAAGGTTAACTTTTAGACATTATTAACATTTATAACTAATTAATAATTGGTTCACAGGCGTTCACTTTACATTAAGGTTCACTTTTAGACATTATTAACGTTGATAACTAATTAATAAATGGTTCACAGGCGTTCACTTTACAATAAGGTTCACTTTTAGACATAATTAACGTTTATAACTCATTAATAAATGGTTCACAGGCGTTCACTCTACATTAAGGTTCACTTTCACAGGTTATTAACGTTTATAGCTCATTAATAAATGGTTCACAGGCGTTCACTACATTAAGGTTCACTTTCACAGGTTATTAACGTTCATAGCTTATTAATAAATGGTTCACAGGCGTTCACTTTACATTAAAGTTCACTTTTAGATGTTATTAACATTTATAACTCATTAATAAATGGTTTACAGGTGATCAGTTTATACTAAGATTCACTTTTAGAAGTTATTAACGTTTATAACTCATTAATAAATGTTCACAGGTGTTCACTTTATAATAAGGTTCACTTTTAGACATTATTAACGTTGATAACTAATTAATAAATGGTTCACAGGCGTTCACTTTACAATAAGGTTCACTTTTAGACATAATTAACGTTTATAACTCATTAATAAATGGTTCACAGGCGTTCACTCTACATTAAGGTTCACTTTCACAGGTTATTAACGTTTATAGCTCATTAATAAATGGTTCACAGGCGTTCACTACATTAAGGTTAACTTTTACAGGTTATTAACGTTTATAACTAATTAATAAATGGTTCATAGGCATTCACTTTACATTAAGGTTAACTTTCACAGGTTATTAACGTTTATAACTAATTAATAAATGGTTCACAGGCATTCACGCTACATTAAGGTTCACTTTCACAGGTTATCAATGTTTATAGCTCATTAATAAATGGTTCACAGGCATTCACTTTACATTGAGGTTCACTTTCACAGGTTATTAACGTTTATAACTAATTAATAAATGGTTCACAGGCATTCACTTTACATTGAGGTTCACTTTCACAGGTTATTAACGTTTATAACTCATTAATAAATGGTTCACAGGCGTTCACTTTACATTAAAGTTCACTTTTAGATGTTATTAACATTTATAACTCATTAATAAATGGTTTACAGGTGATCAGTTTATACTAAGATTCACTTTTAGAAGTTATTAACGTTTATAACTCATTAATAAATGTTCACAGGTGTTCACTTTATAATAAGGTTCACTTTTAGACATTATTAACGTTTATAACTCATTAATAAATGGTTCACAGGCGTTCACTTTACATTAAGGTTAACTTTCACAGGTTATTAATGTTTATAACTCATTAATAAATGGTTAGCAGGCATTCACTCTACATTAAGGTTCACTTTCACAGGTTATTAACGTTTATAGCTCATTAATAAATGGTTCACATACGTTCACTACATTAAGGTTCACGTTTACAGGTTATTAACGTTTATAACTAATTAATAAATGGTTCACAGGCATTCACTCTACATTAAGGTTCACTTTCACAGGTTATTAACGTTTATAACTCATTAATAAATGGTTCACAGGCGTTCACTTTACATTAAGGTTCACTTTCACAGGTTTTAACGTTTATAACTAATTAATAAATGGTTCACAGGCATTCACTTTACATTAAGGTTCACTTTCACTGGTTATTAACGTTTATAACTCATTAATAAATGGTTCACAGGCGTTCACTCTACATTAAGGTTCACCTTCACAGGTTATTAACGTTTATAACTCTAATAAATCGTTCAAAGTTGTTCACTTTACATTAAGGTTCAAAATTCATGAGATATAAATGAGAGAACCATAAATACAACACCCTTCAGTCTCACTATAAAAGTCAATTTTTGCTGCATCATGAAATAAATCAGGAATCCGCTTTTGAGAGAAATACGTATTAATAAATATATTTATAAAGCATTTATAACATGCGAGTTAAAACATGGCTCACTATTTGGCAGGCATTGCATTAAAATCACCCTTTTTATTCATACATTTACAACTGCTTATCAATGATTTATAATGCATTTGTAAACGAGTTATTAGTCATTTATGAACACTTTTATAAACACTTTATAAAGGGAAATATAAGAGCCATATTCTTTCTTGTACCTTAGCCAATACCTTAGCCAATGCATTATTCTTCCTAATATAACATACTTCTCATATTTTGAGCAAATATTGTGCAAATGTCCCCCAAATACCCCAGGACATCACTTTTGGCCACTACTGTAAGTTACTATGGCTACTTACACCATGATCATTTTTGGTTTTTGGGAAATTTACCTGTAAATTTCACATAACCTGCTTTCAGGAAAATGTGCCATCCACACCCAGGCCAGTTTACACATGTTCCACAACATGATAGAGGAACACATGAAAAGGAAAGTGTTGACAGAAGGCAAGTATACATGTTAACTCTCTTTACTGTCTTCACACTCCTCAGTTATTTCTAAGAGCAACAACAAAAGAGTGAGAGCGCCAGCCAATGTAGTACTTCACATCTATTTTGTCTGTTTCATTCATTGAAAGTTAAAGGTTATGTCTAAGTTTTTCTTCACATTTATTTATGAAGTGTTATTTTCATGATTTCCTTCCGCATATCAATTTTGAAGATTGTAGATCGGAGGATAATCTGCAGTCTAACAAAACAGAATCACCATTATCACAGGTATCAATATCTTACATGATGATCTTTTACAAGCACACAATTAAAAATGTTGTACATTTTTATGGTTTACAGTTTAAATTTTGCTGAATAGGGGCTATAACGACAGGTTCAATTGTAGCTTATTGTGACAACATGACAACAAC